AAAGGAGTCACCATTCTGGGGATGTGTCGTATTGGGGATTCATTGACTTTGATCATTAGGAGAAAGTGAAACTGCTGATATACAATGGTGCCAGGAAAAAGTATATGTATTTAGCACCTAGGACATCTCCAAGAGAATCTCCTCATACCCCCTTTCCCAATTTTGATGGTAAATAGACAAGTGCCACGGTTGTAGCCTGAGAAGGACATGGCAACCAGGGTTTCAGACCCATCAAAGATGAGTGTCTAGGTCACCCCACCAGGTAAGCCACTGAGACCAACAGAAATGATTGCCGGCCAGGAGTGGTGGCTCATGCCTCTAATCCCAGCACTTTGGGAGGCAGAGGTGGGTGGATCGCCTGAGGTCAGGAGTTCATGAATAGCCTGACCAACATAGTGAAACCCCATCTCTACTAAAAAAATTTTTTTTCTTTTTTTTTGCGACAGAGTCTCATTTTGTCGCCAGGCGCCAGGCTGGAGTGCAGTGGCACAATCTCGGCTTACTGCAACCTCCGCCTCCCGGGTTCAAGCAGTTCTCCTGCCTCAGCCTCCCGAGTAGCTGGGACTACAGGCACACGCCACCATGCCCAGCTAATTTTTTTTTTGTATTTTTAGTAGAGACGGGTTTCACCATGTTGGCCAGGATGGTCTCGATCTCTTGACCTTGTGATCTGCCTGCCTCGGCCTCCCAAAGTGCTGGGATTACAGGCTTGAGCCACCGTGCCTGGCCTAAAAATATGTTTAAAAAAATTAGCCGGGCATGGTAGCGGGCGCCTGTAATCCCAGGTACTCAGGAGGCTGAGGCAGGAGAATCACTTGAACCCAGGAGGTAGAGGTTGCGATGAGCTGAGATTGCGCCATTGCACTCCAGCCTGAGCAATAAGAGTGAGATTCCATCTCAAAAAAAAAAAGAAAAAAAGAAATAATAGACAAGGGTGAGGGGACTCTAAAATGGGTAGAAGAGGGGACTCTAAAATGGGCAGAAGGGTGAGATAATCAGCTGGCCTCTCAGAATCCATTGCTCTAGAGACAGGGCTGTGGTTTTTCCTGCCAACCCTCTCCTTAAATTTCCCAGAAAAAGAGCCAGTCAGAATCTTGGAGGAACTATTTGCAAAACCTAATTTACAAAAAAATAATCCAAGCAGCTGAAAGGGTGGACCATAGTTGATACCGTGGGCTGCCCAGAACTTCCCTGCAGGACTGAGATACCATTTCCCCAGCTGTTGGGAATGTTGGCCAAAGGTCTTTCAGCTGAGTCACTCTCCAGGAAATGTTCTCAGTCCTTCACCTGATGACGTTCCCTGCCTGGTGTCAGTCCCCAACCACTGACTGATGGAGGCAGGGTACAAAGGCCCATCCCCCTTTGCACCAAGGTGGGACAAGATAGGCTATCCAGAGCTACCCTCTGGCTGCAGCCTGGCTTTGTTCCAGCTGCACCCCAGTTAAGCTCCTCCCTCTTTTCAATCCTATCTCCTTCCATACCCATTGGTGCTGACCCAGAAGACACACCCCAATAAACCAGCAGGCAAATCTGTCTCAGAGTCTGTATCTCAGGGGACCTGACCTAAGAAAATGTTATCAATTTATTGTAATTTATGAGTTAAATAATATAAGACACAACACAAGAGTCATTATCTTATAATTCGCAAAGGAAATTGTAGAGGAATTGGATGAATACTGCTATTAGATAATAAGACTGTTGTTGGGTTAATTTTTACAGATGGAGAAAGATTCCCCGTTGAGATTGTGTCCAGAGGCGAATCAGAATGACAGATAAACGAAGTAGAAGGCTTGGACAAAGAGAATAATATCAGGCAATGTTCTGTGAGAGGCAACATATCAGACACATTGTATAGTATCTTCCATCATCTCAGCCCACCTTTTTACTCTAGCCATTGATGTGGCTGGTGTCAGTGGGGGCAGGTGGGGCTAGCTTTCAGAAGTATCCTAATCACTAAGAATTTCACCAGCAATGAACCCAGCAGCATATTACCTCAGCTATATCACATTTTTCTCCATTGATCTCACTTCCTGCCCTGTGGGCTGGCTATGGGAACTCTTCAGCCACTCTGACACAGTGGCTGTGCAAACCTGGCAGGGAGTTTCATTTCCTGGAGCAACACTTGACCATTGGGGGTTGTTCACAATTTACATGACCTCTCAGAGCATTCCCAGAGGGATGGGGCCCCAGTTGTACATAATAATGGCCAGCTTAATAGCTGGAAGAGAATGCAAGAGTCAGCACAGAGGTTGCGGGTCCCAGGCAAGCAGGGATGCATGAGGGAGGGTGAGAAGTGAGAAGCAGCCTGAAGCAAAGCAGTGCAGAATGGACTGAGAACCGGTGACTGTGGATGAGATAAAAGGCATGGAGGCCAGGCACAGTGGCTCATGCCTGTTATTTCAGCACTTTAGGAGGCCGAGGTGGGTGGATCACCTAAGGTCAAGAGTTTAAGAGCACCCTGGCCAATATGGCGAAACCCTGTCTCTATTTAAAAAAAAAACACACACACACACAAAAACACAAAAAGGCCTGGCACAGTGGCTCACACATGTAATCCCAGGGCTTTGGGAGGCCCTAGTGGATAGATCACCTGAGATCAGGAGTTCAAGACCAGCCTGGCCAACATGGTGAAACCCCCGTCTCTACAAAAACAAAAATTAGCTTGGCATGATGGTGCTTGCCTGTAATACCAGCTACTTGGGAGGCTGAGGCAGGAGAATTGGTTGAACCAGGAGGCAGAGATTGCAGTGAGCCGAGATCGTGCCATTGCACTCCAGCCTGGGTAACAAGAGCAAAGCTCCATCTCAAAACAACAACAACAACAAAAAAAAGGTGTGGGAAAGTTGGAGAAGCAGAGTCATGAAAAGCTGAAATGAGAGAATAGAAAAAAGATCAATATAAGTCTGTGACATTTTATAGGGATGACAGCATGAGTGACATCAATCTTTAAAAGACTGATTGACCTGAAAACAATTATGAATTCTTGTTGCAGTTACAAAATCAATTGTTTCCAGAAAAGAAAATCACAAATTCTCCTAAAAATTTGTTTTCAAAAGTAACTTCTTGTTAGAAAAATTATGCCGATCTATTTTAGACAGATCATAAAATTAGCAAAAAGAAAAAAAAACACCGTAATTCTACCACTTAGAGATTAATAACCATTAATATCTTGATGTTTACCATCTAAAGATTGTGTGTGTGTGTATTCTATTTTGATAAAAATAGGATCCTGGACTGCTGGGCACGGCGGCTCAAGCCTGTAATCCCAGCACTTTGGGAGGCCGAGGCGGGTGGATCACGAGGTCAAGAGATCAAGACCATCCTGGTCAACATGGTGAAACCCCGTCTCTACTAAAAATACAAAACATTAGCTGGGCATGGTGGCACGTGCCTGTAATCCCAGCTACTCAGGAGGTTGAGGCAGGAGAATTGCCTGAACCCAGGAGGCGGAGGTTGTGGTGAGCCGAGATCGCACCATTGCACTCCAGCCTGGGTAACAGGAGTGAAACTCGTTTTAAAAAAAAAAAAAAAAAAAAAAAAGGATCCTGTTGTGTAACACAATTTCTTTTTAAAAATGCACTATTTTCATCTATGATAAGAACAGTAGTATTTCCCTTAATGACATTTTGTTTCTAAAAGGAATTGAATAGATGATAGAAAATCTTTTCTGGGGTTGCTTTTTATTTCAGTTTTCAACATCCAATTTTTTTTCTTCTGGAATATGCTATATATCACTCTACCATAAAGCCAGGACCAGATCAGGCCCAGTCTGGACCTTTTTTTCCCTGTGCAGAACTCCACAGCCTCCCTCATGTGACATTATCAGTAGCTTGCTACAGCTGACCCACATATTTAATTTATTTTTATGGGCCTTTTTCTGGAACCATAAAAAAATATTCTGGGATATCTTCCCTAATAAATGGAAAGGAAGTGCTGTCAATCTTAGAGAACAGCAGTGCAGATCACTGCCCTCACCTCCCCATGACTTAACTGCCTGTGTTTTCACTTTGGTCCTCTTTAAAGCTGCAAGGACTAATTGAATAGAGGTTGATGAGGCCAGGTAATAAATGAGGTGTATATAATGACTCAAAGGCATCGTGCCTCCTCATTTTGGACAAGTTACTTAAGTTCTCTGAGCCTTGGTTTCCTTCCATCAGCTAATGGGAAGCTGTATCAGCTAATGGGAACCTATGCCATAAAATAGTGGCAAGAACTGAGTGAAACTGTATGGATATTAGATGATGTTTCTGCATTATGTGCAGAAACAACAAACCACCCATTCTTTAACCTTGTGCACTAAAAGTAAGAGGGTTTATGGAAAAAAAAACAGGTAACAATACCCATCCTAATAAAATGCACCATAGTTAAGCTTCTAAAAAAAAGAAATACTACTAAGTAAATTTATAAGACTTGCCTTTGCCTTTAAGAAAAGGCGATGGTTACTTGATGGAGGAGGGTGTGAGTGACAGTTGATGCTGCCAAGTTACAGAGATGAGGGCCAAATGCATTGAGATCCAGTGAGTACCTCCAAGATAGAGCCAAGAGCGTGAGGTGAATGGGCACCATGTTCAGTACTGGATTACTTCACGGCTGCTGTTTTTGAAAGCTTATTAGGGCATATTAGCTGCAAAATAGTAATGTGTGCATAGAGCTGCAAATATATATATATTTCTTGAGATAGGGTCTCACCCTGTCACCCAGAGTGGAGTGGAGTGGTGCCATCACAGCTCACTGCAGCCTTGGCCTCCTGGGCTCAAGCAATCCTCCTGCCTCAGCCTACCAAGTAGCTGGGATTACAGATGTGTGCCACCACACACAGCTAATTTTTGTATATTTTTGTAGAGATGGGGATTTGCCATGTTGCTCAGGCTGATCTCAAACTCCTGGGATCAAGTAACACTGCGGCCTTGGCCTGCCAAAGTGCTGGGATTACAGGCATGGACCACTGCACACAATTTAGAGCTACAAAACATGTATATATATATATATATAGATTTCCCCCAAATCAATAGGTCTTTTATTGCATTATTTAAAATGTCACAAGTAGGTCTTAGAAATCATCTGGCATCTTGTTTCTGTAGCTGGACAACTCTTACATCTTATTCATCAGCCTGCTGAACAGTTCCTTTTTCAGGGACATAAATACCATCCCCAAATTTCCAGATATCCTTGTTTTTAACTGTTATGGCTTGCTGAATCAAAGCCGCTGAATTTGAAACAAGCTCAATGTCATTTCCTTCAAGGATTAATTCATCTTTCTGGGCTTGAGATACTGAACAAGCAACACCTGGTCTCGTTCGAACCCTGTGGATGTATTTTTCACTCAGGAAATTTTGGATTTCAACGAGAGACCCGTTCTCCTGGATAGCAGCGTTGATGGGGAAGTGAGTATACACAGACCTCATCCTGTGACGGAAGCCCAGTGTAACACCCTTGATCATGTTCTGTACTCGACGACAAATAGTCCGAACGGTAGCCAGTTCCTTTCTGTTACCCCACCATTTGTCAACCCAGAGCCTCATTTTTTTCTTTCTAACAAGACTGAGTTCTACATTGATGTGATTGAAGTCCCGTCTCAGGGTTCCTCTGGGGCCCTTCACAATAACTGTGCGTCCCTTCAGAGTAACGTCGACATTTTCCGGAACGTCAACCGTCTGATTGTTGAGAATGGTCTTCATTCTCGCAGTA